GGGACAGGAAGCAGGTCTGACACAGCTAATACATGAAGTGTTTGTAAAACAGTCCTGGCATCTTCCACATCCTTCACAGGTGGACAATACAGAGGGGATGGGCAGGAGCTCGGGCGCAGCAGGTGTATGGAGATGGAGACACTGGATGGAAGAACCAGGGGAATGTGGAGGGCCCTGACTGACTTCCTCATCGGCCGAGTCAGCCTCTGGTCAGGGATGGAATGGGCCATGGAGACCCAGCTCCTGTTTCCCGTATCTGCAGGAACTTTGTTGGGAGAGGTCTCTGGAGCCTCAGGTCTGCTCCCCTCCACTGATGCGGCAGGCCCTGGTGTCTCGGCTCTGCTCTCCAGTGTTGAGGCAGAGTCTGGAGTTGCCCCATCTAAGGATCCAGAAGAGAAACCTGCTCAGATGCCTTCGATCAGCGGTTCTCAAACTGTGGGTCAGGACCCCAAAGTGGGTCACAACCCCATTTTAATGGGGTCACCAGGGCTGGTGTTAGACTTGCTGGGCCCAGAGCCCAGAGCCTCAGCCCCACCTCCTTGCGTAGCAGGACCAGAGGTAAAAGTAAGCCGGTACGGCCCGGTACGGCGTACCAGCAAGAGCCAGTACGCCGTGCTGGACCAGACCGACTGGTGATTTAAAGGGCCCGGGGCTCCCTGCAGTGGCCAGAGCCCTGGGCCCTTTAAATCACCTCCTAAGCCCCACTGGCAGAGCCCTGGGGTAGCGGCGGCAGGGCTCCGGCCACTGCGGGGAGCCCCGGGCCCTTTAAAGCGCCACCCGAGCCCCGCTGCTGGAGCCCTGAGGTAGCGGCGGCAGGGCTCCCATAGCGATTTAAAGGGCCTGGAGCTCTGCTGTGGTAGCGGTGGGAGCCCTGGGCCCTTTAAATCACCCCAAGCCCTGAGGCTCCCAGCCGCCTCTGCAGCTGGGAGCTCAGGGGGTGATTTAAAGGGCCCGGGGAATTTAAAGGCCCCGCCTCTTCCAGTTGAGGCCACGCCCCCTGCACAGGACTCCAGAGTACCGGTAAGTCCTTTAAGTTACTTTCACCCCTGAGCGGGACCCAGTCTTCAGTATTAGCCCTGCGTGGCAGGGCTCAGATTAGAGGTCCCCCTGCCTGGGGCTAAAGCCCTTGAGCTTCGGCTTTTCCCCCTCCCATACCCTGACCGAGGTGGCAAGGCCCAGGCTTTGGTCCCCGCTCCTGGGATCGTGAAGTAATTTTTGTTGTCAGAAGGGGGTCACAGTGCAATGAAGTTTGAGAACCCCTGACCTAGACCTTCCCACAGCCCCATGTTAGGTGGGGTGAGGGTGCAGGACTGACAGATGGAGCATGAACCAAGGCAGAGCCATGGAATGGGAGTTGTGTTTGCAGCCCAGACACCAGGGTGATGGAAGCCCGGGACACACACAACAGGTTGCATTCCATTCATTACAGATGGTATAAACTTTTATACAGGGTAAGCTCATGTTGTTCGCCCTCTTTCTCAAAGTAAAGAGAGCGGAGCACAGCTGCTTGCCCCTCCCCCCCCAGGTAACAATTATCTACACTGGGTTTATTAACAAACAAAAGTGATTTTGTTTAGTATAAAAGGTAGGATTTAAGTGGTCATAAGA